GGGGGGGGGGGGGGGGGGGGTGACAATGAGCTTTGATGACAAGAAATTGGGAGAGATTCTAGGCATACCTGATAAAGGGTACAATGATTACAAGAAGCTCAAATGGCCAAGTTTAGAGAACCTCCCTACCTCCCTTGCCATTACAAGGAAGTTTGGTAACAATGAAGAAGAGCTTCAGCCCAAGGCTGTATACAAAAGTGAGATAAAACCACCCTAGAAAGTGTTGTTTGAATTTGTTAACAAGGTTGTGTTGCCCAGGAAGGAAAGAAGGCACTTCATGGACCTGGTCCTTATGGAAAGTTTGGATAGTGGGAGGCAAATCAATTGGTCTGGGTTTATCATCTAGCTTCTTGATAGGGTTCTAAGTGGCACCAAAACTCATGTCATACCCTATGGTTTCATTCTCACGGTTGTACTTGCTCACTTCAAGGTACCCCTCAAGAAATGAGAAGTTAGTACAAGAAAGGATCACTTTGGGGAAAACACTTTGACTGTATGTGACTATGAAGTCCACACCACTCCTAAAGAACCTAATTCATCCAAAAAGGTACATGTGAAGAGCAAAGTGCGATCTTTGGTGCAAGAGAGTGGGGCTAAGGATGCTAAGATTGAGAGGCTGAAGAAGAGGTTGGCTGAAGTAGAAACTGAGAGGGTTGCTCTTAGGGATGAGATTGCAAAGGAGAACGAGAAGAATTATGTCATTCTTCATGATATGCTGAAGCTACTTCAGTCTAGAAACCAAGAACCCGGTCCTTCCAAGCCTTGAAACTTTTGTAGCCTAGTTAGACAACCTAGTGACCCGTATGGAATTTCTTTTTGTTCTTTTTGCTCATGATCCAGTAATTTTATTTCTCTTTATGATTTGTGGATGACTAGTATCAATGATAATCAACTGTTTTTGTGCTCTACCTATTTGTTGATGCTTCTTAAATGGCTAATATCATTAGATTGATAAATGATGGTTGAATCCATGATTGTATTTGAAGTAGCCCCAGTGGCCATGAGTGATATCTATTAAAATCTGGTTATCTAATATAATTATGCACCTTTTCGATGATGCCAAAAGGGGAAATATAGGTTGTGCTTTTTACTTTGGACTGTAATGTTTATAATCTACTGAACCTGGTCCCTAATGATTAGTGACATTAAAATTGAAAGTGTTCTAATATTGTGTTGATGTTGAGCTGAGTTGAAACAGGGCTTATGCTTATGAAAAGCACAGAGTTTGTCATCATAAAAAAGGGGGAATTTGTTGGCCCAAGTGAAGTTTGTTTTGATGATTGACAAAGGAACTCAAGCATGAACCAGGTCCATACACAGTATACACAAATACGGGCAGATTCAAGCACAAGGCATGCACGTGAAGGAGATAAGTTTAAGTGGTTATATCTGATATCTTCTAAACGAAAAGGTTGCATAATTGATAAGGAGAAGGACTCCTTACTCAAGAGACTTTATCCAAGATAAGGGAGGAGTTAGAAGTTAAATATAACTATAACTCTTCTACTACGGAAGAGTATAGCATTAAAACTCTAGTTATTTCCTATTTTACTAACTCTATATATTGTAGGATTTTCTCATTTATAGGTATGCACAAACTCTGAAGTTAAACGTGAGTTACGAGCAAAATAGTAAGGCATTTTGCAAGCAATTCTTGTGTGATTCAAGTGTACAAACCTGAAGCTACATGAACCAGATAGAAGATCTAGTTCTAAGTGTGTGTCTTTTACTCTAGTTTCATTGTAGTAGGTGTTTCAAATTGTACCTTTCAGCTTTATCTAGATGCAATTGTACTAGGTACTCTGAGTGTTGTATTCAAGTTAGAGTTAACTTGAAGTTGTCGCAACAGCTAGAGGCTGGTTGCCACAAATGGATTATGGGTAATCCTTAGGTTTACAAAGAGTTTTGTAATTGCTGTTTTGGCTCAGTGATTTAGTGAAGTGTTGGGGAAAATCTTACTGAGTAGTAAGTCGTGATTTTTTCACCTTTTGAGCCAGGTGTTTTTCACGTAAAAATACTTGTGTTCTTTACTTTCTGCATTTATTATTCCGCAACAGTAGTATAAGGAACACATAGAAGAACCATGTCCTTGTATAATCCGTGCAAACAAAAAATTGAACACCACACAGATCACCCTCTCTTGTGTGGTATTGAAGTATAAAACATCACTCACTCTTGCTAGTGTCATGTTTTCTCCACTTTCTAGTCTAAAATTGTGAAGATGAGCTACATTCGTGCTAATTCTAAAATTTATATAAGACTTATAATTACTTATAGTTACAAAATACTCTGAAAGAGGAAAATAAAAAATTATTAATCTAAATACTTTAATACCAATTCTGATAAATATGAACTTCATTATACACTACTATAAAACTGGCTAAAACCGTTTAGAAATATCGATCAAAATCGATCGGAAAACTAGAAAAACTAACCGATTTCCGACCGACTTTAATTCATTGAAATTAAGTTGGTCGGTAAATTATAGCGATTGAAGCGGGTCGATATTTCTGACCAATTTCGGTCGGTAAATTAATTTTCACAAACGACCAAAAAAGAAAAAAAATTATCGAAAAATCCGAGCGAAGTCGGTCGGTATTTTTAATTATGCAATTAAAATATTCACCGTCTGGGACTCGAACTAGGGTCTGTACTATGGTAGGATACTATTCTACTACTAGACTATTGGTACATTTTTGTTTAAGATTTTTTTAAAATATTTTCATACTCTTTAATTGCATTTTCGCGCGAAAATAACTGACTGATTTCGATCGGTTTTATTAAAAATATAAATTACCGACCCAAGTCGATCGGTTTTTAAAATGACTGACTGAAATAACCGACGGATTTCGGTCGGTTTTTGAATATTAATTTTAATTTATTTAATGTGAAAAACTGACTGAAATCGGTTGATTTCTTAAAAGATAAATTTTTCGGGATGCTAAAATAGTTTCCCGCACTTTTGCGCCAATAAGTCGATCGAAGTCGGTCGGTTGGCCGCAGTCGATTTTGGCCGAATTTCTAGTAGTGATATAATATTCCCTCTATCCTAATTCCTGCGACATGGTTCGAAATTTCGAGAGTCAAATTTATTAATTTTGACTATATATTTTGATATAAAATCTTTATGTATTTTAAAATAAAATCTACATATTAAAAACCAAATAAAAAGTACTACTCCCTTCGATCCACAATAAGTGATCAATTTGCTTTTTTATTTTGGTCCAAAATAAGTGTCCATTTATATAATCAAGAAGGAATTCAATTTATTTTTACAAAATTACCCTTATGTATATATCCCTAAAAAGTTTCTCCTCACATTAAATATTTAATTAAGGGTAGTTTAGCCATACTAGGTATTTTTGTATAGAATTTAGTATTTTCTTAATGGGCGCGCTAAAAGCAAATTGGTCACTTATTGTGGACTGAAGGGAGTATAAGTTAAAATAATTAATAATTCAAAATATTTAAAAGGCATATGAAAAAGTTGTGGTAAAAAAATAATTTCTCGGAATCCGAACGATGCCACATAAATTGGGACGAGCTGAATACTACTCCATCCGTTCACTTTTACTTGGCATGTTTTTACTTTTCACGCCCCTTAATAAATAATAAATAAAATGCATAATTTACCATGATACCCATATTAATTGATGCATATTTTATTAGATTTGAGAAAATGATTTGAAATGAGTAATAAATACTGTGGGTATAACATGAAATTTTTTTTTTGCCTTCTCTTGATATGCATAAATTGACAAGTAAAATGAAAATCTATTTTAATATACATGTCAAGTAAAAGTGAACGGAGGAAGTAGTTAATTTGTAAAGTACCCTATATTTAGTCAAATAGTCAACTCTCTTTTTCGATGTTCACATTTAAAATTATGTTTTTCTCATACCCTGAAAACCACATCTTTGACCATCTTTATGACGTGAGGATGAACCGTGAATAATGGTTAATGAAAGAAAAATAGGAGAGAGGAAAGGATAATATTAGGCAGAATTGAATCATAATGATACAGGGTAGAGTTGCAACTATCGTGTTACAACTCTAATCCCATAAAAGTATCTCAGCTTTTGTCCTTTTCGTTCTTTTTGTAATTAATTTCTTTCCCACAAACGCAGAAAATTTATTTTTGCTTTCCTCGACAATCAAACAATTATTTTACGATTTTGTTGATTGATTTTACATTAGGAAGATAATCTCAGTGAATTCATTCACAACATGAAAACATCAGATGGTAATAATGACAATTTTCCATCTCCCCCTGGTCAATTATCACCATTACAAATTCCAAAACTTGAATCTTCTTCAATTCAAGGACAACTTAATTCTCCACCACGACCACCGGCTCCGCCAATTGATGGACTTCCTTCACCATTATTATCGCCATCATCGTCACGAAATTCCATGCATAAGTCACATTTATTGTCACCAACAACAATAACAACGACAACAACTACGCTCCATTCAGTGCCATCATCACCAAATATTCCCGTTCATGGACCTCACTCGCCAGCGCAATTATCATCGTCGTCACGGATGCCAATGCCTGGATCTCCATCATTACCACCATGTAAAACACCGTTATGTCACCAATCTTCCATGATGCAACCACCTCCATATGGTTACCCACCCCAACGGATGCCACCACCATTTCCATATTTTTCTTCCCCCTTTCCTCATGACCAATTTCATCCATTTTATTTGCCAACGTCCCCCGGAAATAATAATGTCTTTAATGGTCAAGTTTACAGTCAGCCCTGGTCCACAGGCCTTTTTGATTGTTTTCAAGACCTCAAGAACTGTACGTTCCTCTAATTATTTTTCTTGATTTTTCTTACCAATTCTCTCAAATTTTTATTATTAGAACTTTAAAGCATTGCACTAATTTTGTAACAATTTGACTTGGAAGATAACCATGGTTTTACGACATTTTGTTGTAGGTTTTATTACATGTTTATGTCCCTGCGTTACTTTTGGGCAAGTGGATGAGATTGTATCTGAAGGGCAAATGGGTAATTCTCGAATGAGATATTATATGATGACATTCATTTTAGTTAATGTAAATAAACTGGAAAATAAAAACATGCATGTACTACTGTATATTTTGGTCAAATTTTGTAAAAAAATTTTGATGAAGAATTTGTGTGATGCAGTTTGGTGGGAAAGTGCACTGATGTTTGGAATACTGGAATCGGTTTGCTTCAGTCAAGCATCATGCGTTATTGCATGGTATCATCGTGCGCAATTCAGGAAAAAATACAATTTGATTGGTAATCTCCTTAGTGAATTTTTAATTACTCTCTGTTGCACGAGATTGGTCCTCTGTCAGAATTACCGACAGCTTAACAAACTCGGCTATGATGTAGCCCTAGGTAATTCCTCATTTTATTTCCTCTTTCTCTTAGGTTTCTCTTTTTGGATAATTCTCATATATTTATTGGAGATAACTTAGTACTTATGAGAAAATTATAAAACGTAAATATTGTCTTCCTTTTTTGTTTCCCACCTATTGTCCGATATTTATTTTGGGGTTTCAGCTAATTTAGATTTCTGCCGTATAAAACCATTAAAAAAAGAACATTCGGCTCGAACCCAAGACTCTTTTTAAGGGGTAAATAATTATATAAGAAAAGTTATGTAGAGATTATTTATAACATCAAAGTCTATGTTTGTCTTCTAAATACTTTATCTTCGTAGTGTTAATATATGTATTATTATTTCATATTCTATTTGTTGGGGACGGATTTATAGCTCAGATTATGGGATAGGTGAACCCATGATCTCTCTACGTCAAATTAACTAATTTATGTATGAATCTATAATTGATCTAATATTATATGCTAGCCCCATCCAAAAGGTTGAGAGGTGAACTTGGTTGAATATTAAATCATTTACCCAAAGGAATAAGGATCCATTTCGGCTCTGGCATAAAATTATACATAGTTTCATGCATAACTTAATATGGGTATTATTTAATAATTCCAACCAATTACTGCATTTATTATGTTGGATTATTTTTTCTTATATGACCAAGTTGCATTAGTTGTGCAGGAATTATATTTCTTTGTCCCTCCAATTAAACATTGAATTGCTGTTTGCAAGAACTTTATGTTTTAATTATTTTTCCTAATCTTTCCAAACAAATGACTCCTTATTATTTTCAGGATGGAAAGCAAATAAGAAGAAACAAAGAAGAATAGCAAGCCAAACGGCAGCACGATTTGTTCCACCAGTGGTTAATCCAGGGATGTTTAGATGAGTAGCAGATTATTGGTGGATAATTGCTATACCAGAAATGATTATCGCATATCCTAATAGTGGAGTAATTTTTTATATATATTTTAATTCTTTTGACAACATTGTAAGGTGAAAAAAAAGGAGGAATCCAAGTCGAAAACTAGTATATAGCGCAGTAGTAATTATATATTATATATATATAATAAAGCCAACATATATATGCATTGTTTAATTCTTAACGAAGAATCTATGCTATGTACCCTATTTTTGAGAATTAAAATGGAAACATTAAGCTCCTTTTCTAGAATAGTGATACTATTATGAAGTTAGTTTCAAGGAAAGAACAGTATATTCGGTGTTTATATCAATTCTATAAAAGCATGACCTGTCTATATACACTTTTATTATTTAATCACTGACTAATTAATATGTATTCTCAGTTTCTCACTTCGATTTATATCATATGATCAGGGTCACTTGTGTTCTTAGCCCTCAACGTAACTTCCTATCGTCTGCTTTACGAGAAATTTTCTGCTAGTCTTCTCTCCACAGCGAAGGATAGGGGCCTTAACACCCCAACACACTTATTTAGTAAAACAAAGTTTCTGACTATATCCAGTGTTCATTCAATTCAAATCTGAAGTAGTTCGAACGTAGTATATATATTCATAATAGTTGTCTAGCTTCCTTCTCGATATTGTATATACCTTGCTTATCGATAGTAAACTTTAAACTATCAACTATCAACTAATGAAGCATAACGAACGAAGGAATATAAAGAACGCCTAGTGCAAACTTAACAAGAGAGTATTCAAATGAGTAAGAGCATAGGGTGGTGATTTGAGTATTTGACCTTGAATTTGAGTTTCGATGGTTCCCATAGGCTCGAGTGGTGATTTTCGACTTAGGCATGCGTTCGAATTTGGATTTGGAGTCCCGTGGAGGTAATTTGAAGTATTTTGGCGAAAATTGAAAAGTTGAAGTTTTGGAAGGTTGAAAGGTTTGACCAATAGTTGACTTTGGTGTTATCGGGGTCGAAATGTGATTCTGAGAGTTGGAACAGATCTGTTATGTCATTTGGGACAATGATTGAGCACGGGCCATTTCCTCCTATTTTTGAACTGCTGTTTTCTGATATCTGGTTTCCTTAATCGCGTTTACATCCATCCCTCCGCGATCGCGTAGTGTAAGTTTGGAGCAGATGATATTTACTCTACACGTTCGCATTCTTCTGTCCGCGAATGCGTAAGTGTACCTTTCCCTCCTTCGCGTTCGCATGTTGATTAACGAGTTCGCGTAGCTTAAATTTTGGGCCATCAACCTTTTCCCCTTCGGGATCGCACCCTACTGTATGCGATCACATAGTACATTTTTTGGCAAAGTTCTCCTTCTTCGTGATCGCAGCTCCTTTTCCGCGATCGCGATGTACAAACACCTGGGAAGAATATAAGTACTCTATTTCGAGGGTTAGCCATTTTTCACAATTTTGGAGTTCTAGAGCTTGGTTTTAAGCGATTCTTAGTAGATTTTTCAAGCAAAATATTGGGCAAGTGTTCTTCACCTAGAATTTATTATGTTCCATGAATCTATCTTTATTTTTATCATTTAATTAGTGTTTTGGGTTAAGGAAAAATGGGAATTTTTAAGAAAACTTTCAAAATGTAAAATGATGATTTGAAAGATCAAATGGTATCAGAATTTAATAATTCTAGAGTGGTTGAACTCGTATCGGAATGGATGTTTGGGTTTTATAGATTTTATCGGGTTCCGAGGTGCGGGACCGGAGAGTTTACTTTTGTTGACTTTTTGTAAATTGTATAAGAATCATAGCTTTGTTAATTGAAATTATTTTCTCTTACATTGTTTGATGTATCCAAGTCATCTTTGAGTAGATTGAGCCGAGCAGTGGTGAATTGGTAAAGGAAAAGCTAAATTGAGTATTGAGTTGGCCGAATTGAGGTAACTGTCTTGTCTAACTTTGTGGGGAAAAAACCACCCCTTAGGAACTGAGTCGATTGTGCTATCTTGTTATGTGGAAGCCGTGTACACAAGGTGACAAGTGGGTACACGGTCTATAAATGGTATTGACCGGTTTAGATTGTTTAGTCTCTTCCCTTTCCTTTGATTAAATTGTCATAATAACATGTGGTATCTCGTTGTTAGGCTACTCTACATGCTCTATACGATGTTGTTAGCATTTATATACCTCTTACTCGTTATTTGGCCCTTATATGCCTTGGTTGAAGTTATTGCCTTCCTTATTTTCTTGTTACCTCTTAATCGCTGAGTTCCTTTATGACTCGGTGCATATTTGTTGTCACGCCCCAAACCTGGGAAGGCGTGGCTGGCACCCGGTGTCGTGCTGGCCTGAGCGAACCAATCTGTAACTCATTATCATTCGACCAAAACTAGAACATACATAGGTCGAGTTAGCTGAACTCATTCCTTTTATAACTATCATAGGCCCACATGACCATTACTCATAATGTACAATTGTAAGTGGGCAAACACTAACTCAATGAACCATCTTTCTTAAATCATGAGTATATATGGGTTGTCAAGGCCTCTGCATACTGTACAAAATGAACCTCTGTCTACAAAGGCTCTAAGATTATTCGACATCAAATTGGACAGCGTACCGACCTACCCATAAGTCTGTAGCAAAATTCTGACACAATGACTCATAGACTCGGCTGCACTCCGAATGAGGTGGAGTCTTACTGATCCTTCGCTGAATGCCAATCTCGTCTACTATGAGTGCTCGTCAAACTGATTACATATACTTGCAGGCATGAATGCAGTGTCCCCAACAAAAGGACGTCAGTACGAATAATGTACTGAGCATGTAAGGCATGTAAATCAGTATATAAAGGACATGAAAGAAACATAGAGTAAAGGACTCAACCTGAAAATCTGGATAGGTCTGTAAATCATGAAATATTTATAATGTCATGCATATGTGTATAAATGTCATATAATGCATAGGTCTGTACGTACATAACATCATCAAGCCTCTGAGGGTATCTCATCATATCATTTCAGTCACTGTGACCAATATCATCATCATATACCAGCTGATCAAGTAGTGGTGCATATATAACGCCGTAACATTTTTTCATATCTCATATATATATATATATATATATATATAATATTACAAGAAAGAAAAGGACTAGGAAATGGGGAATGAAATAATCAAGTAGTAGTTGTTGCAAGTAGTGCAACGTCTATTGAGCCAAAAACAGAACAAGTGGAAGTAGTGGGGTTTCTCTTTTCTATCACTTTAGTTTAACTTTGTGGAATTGGAGAAGAAGAGTAGGTGTGGAATATCCGTTGCCTAAATGCTACTTTGATAACCTTTTTCTTGAATTGGAAAGGTGTTAGGCTTAACGTAATGACTAGGCCACATATTAATTAAATGTGCTACATTTTCACTCAAATGCAAGAGTCATCATTTGGACAAGGCCTTGCTGCCACGTTTGGGGGTAAAATCTTTATCAAACTTATTCACAATTATCTTAATCAAAGTGGGTGATGACTTGCCACAAAAATCCCTTAAATTTTAACACTAATTCCATGAAATAAGAGTCACACTTTGGCTTTGATGAAGACTCATTGTGTTGCCACGTTTTGGCTCATTACCCTTATCCAAAGACTTTAATTACTCAACCACTAATTATTAGGTAATTAATTCCCCCATTATCAATAATACACATAATTAAGGATTATCTCAAATTACTTAGAATACTACTCACTTTTAATATATTTAATGTACCCTACTATTATGCTCATGTGGTACCATATAAGATCAATACCTACACTATTATTTCATTAATCAACTATGTAAATATATATATATTTTCTCAACTCCTAATTTTTCTAATCTCATGTAAAGAGTACAAATTTTTGTATGCTTAATTCTTAAAATGGTAAGAAGATAACCTTTTTTTCTTGTGAAAAAAAAATAATTTCTATCTTTACAATAAAGAAAATTTCATTTATAAACTTTCTCGTATTATGTATATAATTTAAAGCATATCGGAAAGTAGTAAAATATATTTTACAAAGGGACCTTTAACTAATTACACATGTCATTAAGTGAATACCCATTTGATTAGTCATCAAAACCCCGCATTTACTTGTGTAAACAATGCACTTTAAGTGCTATGACTCATATATGCACATTTTGTGCCACCTTTACTTCTAGTAGTGCTTAGTCACCAAATATTGTCTCCCACAACTACACATGGGATCCTCCTCCCTCCATTCTTTCCTTAGATGATGACACATATGTATATACTGGCACTAATCGCCTACTAAAATTAGACACTCATTCCATAACCTCACCTAATTTGCACATGTACCCACCCCTTTATTATACCTAATAAAGCACTTTAACTCCTAAGAGGCCACCTACTACCTTATTATGCTTAGTCATTCTGGATACTACACATGGATTTAATGTCCACAACAATAATTACCTACTAATTAATCTGTTAATATTCCACTAAAATTTAATATTTAATCAATAAGCCACATAATAATTTCTAAGTCTCATTTCACTTAAATACTAGTATACTTCATATACCTTACTATCATGGTCACGTGGTATAGCACTAGTCCATAAATATGGGGTATTATAGCTTGGCACTAGTTCGCAACATGTTATATTTATTGTTATGATATTGATATTGTACAGTGGGATTGGGTTGCACACCGCAACAAGTGAAATAAGGGTGAATCGATATGGTTGAATAAGGGTGGATACGATATTGATATTATATGGTGGGATCGGGTTGCACGCCATAACATATTTGTGTATTTTGTATCCCCTGTTTTATTGTATTGGCTTCAATTCCTTCGTACGAGATTCTGAGAATTTGTATTTTCTGATTTCACCGTCTTCTGAGGATTTATTTATCATCATTGACATTACTGCCTTGCCGTCATTTCCTGAGTTGTTTTCCTAGTACTATTATTCTAGTAAATTGATTTTCATGGTGAATTTACTACGTTGAGTCATTATCTCCTGCCCTACTGAGTTGTTAGTTATATAGTGATTTAAAATAAAGAAATTAATATCATGCTACCTTGTATGACTTTTAAGTTAGAATTCGTCGTATATTTCAGTATTACCAATTCTAATAATTGTTATATTTTATTTCAATTGATTTCTCTAGTTAATTTCCTTAACTTGTTTGGGGTTTGTATTTTACTTAAAAAGAAATTGTTATTAGGTTTTAATTTAATAAATCCTATATTAAATACAATAGCTTATTCGATGTTGTATCTTTATTTGAAATATTATTTTTTTTACTCAAATGATTTCTAAAATA